AACAGCCCTGGGTGGCTCCTGAACAAGGTCAGGTGATGCAGTGATGGGGCCTTCCTTCTCCGGACAAGGGACGCCAAGAACTGGGGAGTACTTGGTTACCACTGATAGCCTTCCTTGCTTCAAAATCTGTTATATCCGACATTAATATTGGTACTTCTGCTTTCTTACAAATACTGGTAGCATGATATATTTTGTTTTATGCATTTACTTTTGTCACTTTAAATTTTTAATTTTGTGGTTACATAATGTATATATTTATTTGTTACATGACATGTTTTGATACAGGCGTGCAATACATTAATAATCATGTCAAGGTAAATAGAGTCTCTATTAATTTATATGTGTGTTTTATTTAAAGTGCGTTTCTTGTAGAGTACATATAGTTGCATTGTATTTTTTTCCCAGTCACTCTGACAATCATTGTCTTTTAATTGGTTGATTTAGACCATTGACATTCAAAGTGAATAGTGATATAGACAGATTAATATCCATCATATTTATTAATATCTTATAGCTGACACTTGTCTGTGTTCCAGTTTCTGTCACCTAATAGTTTTCTGTGTTTTGTGGTTTTAATAGAGCATTTTATATAATTTTCTCTCCTTTATTAGCATGTCAGTCATATTTGCTTTTTGTTTTTTACTTTTTTTTAATCCTAGGAATAAAAACTTTTATTTTCCATACTATTCATTGATCTCGCAGATAACATATTCTTAAAAATAATGATATCAACAGTGTATTTGACTTGGTATGCTTATATATATATGTGTGTCATACATACAAATTCATATACATAAATATATTTGCAGATATGCTTATATATATGTAAAATGAATGACAACAGTGATACAAAGAATGAGAGGAAGAATTCATATTATTCTCTTATTACAGGTAATCATACTGCCTCAGAAATGATATCCTCTTATTTGAAAGGGAGCTTGGATTAGTTGTAAATGTAAATTGCAAACTGTTGGTCTGGTTATTGGATCAAGGGCCCCAGTTCGTGGCTGGCTGTTGGCCAGAGGCTGCATTCGTTTTTTTTTCCATGTCAGCTTCTCTCACAGAGCAGAGTACTCCATCAGAACCACCAAGGCAGAGAGCTTGCAAGGAAGATAGAAATTGCAATTTAGGTCATAATCACTAAAGTCTTCAACTTTCCAGTATTCTATCATTTACATGCCAGTCATACTTGTTGTCCACACTCAAGAACAAAGAACTAGTACCCAAGGTTGTGTAAGCCAAGAGATCAGGATAATTGAGCACCATCATTGGATCTACCTGGCACATCAGATCTTGTTTATTCTGCAAAAGTTTCTCAGTCTCCACTTAAGAATGTCAGGTATTGGCCGGGCATGATGGCTTACGCCTGTAATCCCAGCACTTTGGGAGGCCGAGGTGAGTGGATCACAAGGTCAGGAGATCGAGACCATCCTGGCTAACATGGTGAAACCCCATCTCTACTAAAAATACAAAAAATTAGCTGGGCGTGGTGGCGGGTACCTGTAGTCCCAGCTACTCGGGAGGCTGAGGCAGGAGAATGGCGTGAACCCGCGAGGCGGAGCTTGCAGTGAGCCGAGACCATGCCACTCCACTCCAGCTTGGGGGAAAAAAAGAGACACCGTCAAAAAAAAAAAAAAAAAAAAAAAAAAAAAAAAAGAATGTCAGGTATTTTGCATGATGTATCACAATATAGATCTAAATAGTTTCTCATAATTTGACTAGGGTTATGGATTAATTTAAACATTTACATTTATCTAACTTTAAAGACGAGAAAAGCTGGACATTTTATTATTTAGATAAACAAACTTAATTTAAAAAAAGGAAAATAAGAGAATGCAAAATAGGTAATTCAAAATAATAGTAGCCTTCACCAGGGTAAGGAAGAAAGTAGAATTTGGGAAGTGCATTCAGGGGCATCAGTAGCATTGATAGTGTTCTGTTTATTGAGCGCCACAGTGAATTATAAAAAAGGGGAAGAATCTTTTTTAAATTTTCGAAGTGCTTTGGGCTTACAGAGCAGTTAGAAAGTAAATACAGAGACTTTACAAATACCCAACCCAGTTTTTTTTCTGAGTATTAACATCATACATCATTGTGGCACGTTTGTCAAAATTAATGAACCAATATTACACATTAATCCCTCACTAATATCCGCGGTTTATTAAGAATTCCTTAGTTTTTCACGTAATGCCCATTTTCTATTCCAGGTTCCCATCTAGGATCCCACATCACATTGAGATATTCTCTCTCCTTAGGCTCCTGTTTCCTGTGCCAGTTTCTCAAGACTTTCTTTGTTTTTGATAACCTTGTCGCCCTTAATCGGGGATGTCTCGGATGTTTTTCTCATGATTAACCTGGGTGGGTGGGTTTTGGCACAGAGGACCCCAGAGGGAAAGTGCCACTCTCATTACAGTACACCAACTGTGTATACTTTCAATGAGCTTTATCACTGTTAATGTTAATTTGATTATCGGGATGTCGTAGTTTTGGTCAGCTTTCTTTCCTGTAAGATTAATCTTTTTTCCTCTTTCAGTGTTGTGCTTTTCACAAGTCACTGCGCAGAGCACACACTTAAGAAATGGAAAAACTTGGTCTACCTCCTAATAGGCAGAGCCTTTGTAAATATCATTTGTGTTTCTTCACTGTGGTCAATTTCTGTATTTTCCTTAATTTAGTATTTGCTTATTTATTCAATATCTTACTTTTGTGGATTGTTACATTAAATATTTTTCTTACCATATGCCTAAACTAGTTTATTGACTCTGGTGCTCATTTTTTTTTCAGCTTTGGCCACTGAAAAGTCTTTTATTTGGTTCTTGTATGATTTTGAAATAGTTCCATCATTGCAATTCGATTTTGTTTGGTTTGTTGATTGGTTGTGTTGCTACTTAGATTTTTCTTACTTTCTGGTAATACAAGGTGCTCCAGGTTAATTGTGGTGATTCCCTGCCCAAGTCTGGTATTAACCATTTATTTTGGGGATCTTAGCTCCTTTTTTGGTGAATGGTATTAGCAACAAAGATCTGGTCCATGGGTGTATGTATTTCTACTAAGGATATACTGATTTGAAGCATTATCACTTGACAGCAAATAATATGGTTTTGTCAGCTGATAGCAAAGAATATGTATGTTTATAATAACTCACACAGATGTACATATGTATAAATATTTCCATACTTATCCACGTTTATTTATATAAAGTTAAACCTGAATTTCTACTGTCTCTAGGTTCATATCAGTGGAATCCAGGAAAACATGAATCTATAATACCTCCCCTTTCCCAGTACCTTACCTGACCTCCCACTCTAACAGTGAGGAAGTTGGCCTCCTTTAATTAATTATTGACTCTCAAAATACATACATAGTAGTTACAGAATTGGTCATCTCTACTCCCATGGGAAATAAATTTAATAACTGAAGTATAGTGCTTTTATTCAAATCCCTTGGCCTTTAGGCTTAGAATCTATCCTTACTAAGTTTCTAAAAGAAGTCAGTCCCCTTTTAGTCTACACATTCCACTGAAGTTATTTCTTATACGGTTAGATTATTTTGTCTGAATTGCTCCCCGGGGTCTCCAAGCATACTAAGCAATGTGTAATGCCTTATTTAATGATGATTCAGTGTATACATTTAGGTTTACTCTTTGTGATACTAAGTTCTAGATGATTTGAAAAATGATTATTAAGACATCCTTATAGTATCATAGAAAAGAATTTGGCTTCACAAAATCTTCCCCAATTCCCCTATTTATTGAGCCTTCCTCTGTTCCAAGCCCCTCATAGCCACTTATCTTTTTCATTTGCTATAGTTTTACTTTTTCACCATGTCATATAAATGGAATTGTGCGGTAAATAGTTTTTTCAAACTAGCTTTTTTTCTTTTCTTTTCTTTTTTTTCTTTGAGATGGAGTTTCGCTCTTGTTGTCCAGTCCGGAGTGCAATGGCATGATCTTGGCTCACTGCAACCTCCACCTCCCAGGTTCAAGTGATTCTCCTGTCTCAGCCTCCTGAGTAGCTGGGATTACAGGCATACACCAGCACGCCTGGCTAATTCTGTATTTTTAGTAGAGACAGGGTTTCTCCATGTTGGTCAGGCTGGTCTCGAACTCCCAACCTCAGGTGATCCACCCGTCTCGGACTCCCAAAGTGCTGGGATTACAGGCATGAGCCACCATGCCCGGCCCAAACTAGCTTTTTTCAATCATGAATATGCCCTTAAGATTTGTGAAGTGTGGACAGACATGGTGGCTCATACCTGTAATCCCAGCACTTTGAGAAACTGAGGCAAGAGAATTGCTTGAAGCCAGGATTTTTAGACCAGCCTGGGCAGCAAGGTGAGAGCCTGCCTCTAAAATTAAAAAAAAAAAAAAAAAAAAAAAAAAAAAAAAAAAAAAATTAAGCTGGGTGTGGTGGCCTATGCCTGTAGTCCTAGCTACTTGGGAGGCTGAGGTAGGAAGATCCCTGGGGCCCAGGAGTTCAAGCTTACAGTGAGCTATGATTATACCACTATACCCCAAACCGCTGGGCTATAGCAGAGCAGGGAGACCAAGAGACAACAACAACAACAACAGAAATATATATAGATATATGTATACATATATCTATATATAAAGCATATCTCATGATGGTTTAGATTTGCTTTTCACTATGGACTAAAAGTGCTGAACATATTTTTATGCCCTTAGTGGACATTTCTGTAGTCATTTGGAGAAAAGTCTATGCACACAGTTTACTCACTATTTTTTTTTTTTTTTTTTTTTGAGATGGAGTCCTGCTCTGTTGCCCAGGCTGGAGTGCAGTGGCACAGCTCGGCTCACTGCAACCTCTGCCTCCCTGGTTCAAGTGATTCTCGTGCCTCAGCCTCCTGAGTAGCTGGGATTACAGGCGTGCACCACCACACCCAGCTAATTTTGTATTTTTAGTAGAGACAGGATTTCACCATGTTGGTTAAGCTGGTCTCCAGCTCCTGACCTCATGATCCACGCGCCTCAGCCTCCCAAAGAGCTGGGATTACAGGTGTGAGCCACCACACTCACTTTTCATTATTATGTTTGTCTTTTTATTTTTGAGTTGTATGAGTGATCCGTATTGTCTGGATAATAGTCCTCTGTCAGCTCTGTGATTTGGAAATATTTTCTTACTTTCCTGGATTGTCTCAGTGGTGTACTTTGAATCACAAAAGTTAAATCTGATGAAATCTATTTTATCCAGTGTTTTCTTTTGTCACTTGTATTTTGGTGTCATATTTTAGAATTGATTGTTTCACCTAAGGTGAAGACGTTTCTTTTTTGGGATTTTTAGTTTTAGCATTTATATTTAGGTCGATGTTTGATTTTGAGTCAATGACATATGGTATAAGACAGTTCAGTTTGCATGTGGATACCACTTATCCCAGAAAATTCGTTGCAAAAAGTGTTTTTCCATATTGTATTGTCTTGGCAAACTTTTAAAATTAATTTTACCATATATGTAAAGATTAATTTGAGGCACCCAGCTCAATTCCATTAACACATATGTCAGTCCTCATATTGGTACTACAATATCTTGATTACTATCAGTTTGCAGTACATTTTGAAATTTGGAAGTGTGACTCAAATACTCCAAAATTATTTTTTCAAGATTGTTTTGCCTCTTCTGGAGTACTTCGATTTCCATAGGAATTTAAGAATCAGCTTGCCAATTACTGCAAAAAAATGGAAAAAAAAGTTTCTGGATTTCATTTTTTGGGATTGTTAGCACATAGAAATATAGTTGATTTCAAAGTTTACTTTGTGTACTGCAATGTTACTGAACTCTTTTTTGGTTATAATCTTATTTTAGTGGATATGTCAGGATTTTCTATACATGAGGTCCTGTCATTTGCAAATATAAACAGTATGACTTCTTGCTTTACAATCGAAGTATCTTTTATTTATTTTCTAGCCTAATTACCCTGGCTACATCCTCCTGTACAATGTTGAATAGAAGTGGCAAAAGTGGACATCTTTGTCACATTTCTAATCTTGGGGAAATTACTGAGACTTTCATGATACCTTATGTTATGTGAGCTTTTAATGGATGCCCTTTCTAGGTTGAGAAAGTTCCCTTCTATCCCCAATTTGTTCAGAGTTTTTATCATGAATAGGTTGTGGGTGTATTGAATGCTTACTCTGCATCTTTTGCAATAATCATATGGATTTTGGCCTTTATCTTATTAATACAATGTCTTACACCTATTGCTTTTGTACGTTTAACCAAACTGACATTCCAGTGATGAATATCCTTGGTAATAGTGTATAATCCTTTTCATATGTTGCTGGTATGTTTTGATAGTATTTCTTTGAGAATTTTTTGCCTCTGTTTCATGAGGCATATTGGTCTATAATTGTCCTATCCTCAAATATATTTGTTCTATTGTGGGATCAGGGTAACTGGCCTCGTAGAGTAGATTGGCAAGTTTTGTCTTTTCTTTTTTTTCTTCTTGGAGGAAGAGTTAGTAAAGGATTGTTATTCATTCTTAACAGATTTAGAGTAATTCACCGGTCATCTCGCCCTAGACAGGAATTGAATTCTAACAACAATTACATGAGCTTGGAAGGGAATCCTTCCCTAGGTGAGCCTTCAGTTGAAACCTCAACCTGAGTCATGTGACCCTGAAAAACCATAGGTTTTACATTTATGAGGTTCTGAGTCACTAAGATTTGAGGTAACTTGTTATGCAGTAATAAATAACTAATATACCTGTGAGTAACTTGAATGTGTTATACTAGATTAGATCATACAATAGAAAAAAGATACTAGTGGAAAACCTAGTACAATATGAAGAAAGCTTGTATTTCAGTTAGTAGTTTTGTACCACTGTCAATTTCTGAGTTTTCATAAGCATACTATGGCTAAGTAAGGTATAAACATTACAGGAGGCTGGAAGGTATATGAGACACTCTGTACTATAATTTCATTTTTATTTTCCAGCTCAGGCTGGAGTGTAGTGGCACGATCTCAGCTCACTGCAAGCTCCGCCTCCCGTGTTCACACCATTCTCCTGCCTTAGCCTCTTGAATAGTTATAGTTGGGATTACAGGCTCCCGCCACCACGCCCGGCTAATTTTTTGTATTTTCAGTAGAGTTTCACTGTGTTAGCCAGGATGGTTTCGATCTTCTCACCTTCTGATCTGCCCGCTGCAGCCTCTTAAAGTGCTGGGATTATAGGCGTGAGCCACCGCACCTGGCCTTTCTTGTTTTTTTCTTTTGAGACAGAGTCTCACTCTGTCACCCAGGCTGGAGTGCCATGGCATGATCTCGGCTTACTGCAACTTCCAACTCCCAGGTTCAAGTGCTGCTTCTGCCTCAGCCTCCTGAGTAGTTGGGGTTACAGGCACAAGCCACAGTGCCAGGCTAACTTTTTTGTTTTTTAATAGAGACGAGGTTTCACCATGTTGGCCAGGCTGGTCCTGAACTCCTGACCTCATGATCCGCACACCTTGGCCTCCCAAAGTGCTTGGATTACAAGTGTGAGCCACCATGCCTGGCCTGTTTTTGCATTTTTCTATACATCTAAAATTATTTCAAAATAAAAACATTTTAAAATGTATTTGCTCAAAAAAAAAAAAAAAACGCAAAACAAAACAAACAATAACAACAAAAAACTTTGATCAGGGGATGAACAGAGATGTTGGGAGAGAATGGCAAAACAGTTCGCCTATTATCCACCATTCCAAACCCAGATGAACCTGCTTCAAGAAGACCCCCCACAATCACTAGAGACTCCCCTCAGTTTTCTCCCTTCCTGTAAAACTCCCCATTACACAGTCACCATTTTGTGTGCCACTAAATACTTCTTTAAAGATGGTGGCCTGTGCCTCCCACACCTCATAAAGCCCCATTTTCAGACATTGGCAGTGTATCTGTTGGATCCACTAAAGACTTTTTAAAAGACATGGCTTCCAGACACTAGAAGCTATCATAATATTGAGAAATATAAGTGACAGGGAATATATATCACAATTCTGCATTCAAGGGTGTTTTCTTGGTGCTGGGATTCCTTTTTCAAGTTTGAAAAGAGAAATGTATCTTCACACCTTTGAGAAACACCTTGGTTAATTAAACTTTTTCTTCTGCAGACCCAGTCATGAATTCTTTGGGACCATGTACTCCGTTGAGACTTACCTTATGGTTTTCTGTTGAACATTGCCAAGTCCAAAAGCCACAGGTTAAATATCATAGTGGTAGCAGGTGAGTAGGGCATATACATAACAAAAATAATAACAACAATGAGCTTTAATAAACATGGGGGTTTAGACCAACCTCTGCTTATATAGATCAGGAAAAGAAACCTTTGGCTGGCTGTGGTGTCTTATGCCTGTAATCCTAGCACTTTGGGAGGCCCAGGCAGGAGATCACTTAAGCTGCAGAATTCAAGACCAGCCTGGGCAACATAGCAAGACCCCATCTCTACTAAAAATACAAAAAAAATAGCTAGGTGTGGTGGTGTGTGCCTGTGGTCCCAGCTGCTCAAGATGCTGAGGTGGGAGCCCACTTGAGCCCAGAGGGCAGGGACTGCAGTGAGCCAAGATCATGCCACTGCATTCCAGCCTGGGTGACAGAGTGAGACCTTGTCTAAGAACAAGTAAATAAAAAGGGAAAGAAACGTTAAAAACCAGGTCCACTCATGCACAGCTCCCTGTTCTCAGACCTCAGCACTCTGCTGGGTAGCACCAGGGCTGAGTGCAGGAACCATGCCTACAAAGCGTACAAAGCCATAGGAGTACATACTGCACTCCCATGGAAATCCACAAAGTCAAGGCTCTTGCTTCTATTGTCCATAATCTGGAGAATATTCTCCACATTGCAGTTATAGCTTCAGTGAGAAAATGAGCTCCTGCAGCCTGCAGACCTGGAGTGAGAAGATAGAGCAGACCTGGGCCACATATCTCACTACTGAGGTCAGGATAGCAGATATTTAGGTGCTGTTACAATTGACATTTGTATTTCAGGAATCCTTCTCACTCTTCCATGCTTATATTTTACTCCATGAATAAGGATAGTTTCCTTTAAACTGATAATCTTAAAACATGGAGGGTTATTCTATTAATTGTAACAGAAGTTCCTATAAGCTAAGTGACTTGTAAAGTGCATTTCCTCTTCATTTTGATGTATACATTATAGTCTATTACGATGTATACTGTGAATAACATCCCTCACCAATATCTTTGGAGGGTACTACAGGTGCCCGCCACCACACCCGGCTAATTTTTTGTATTTGCAGTAGAGACGGGGTTTCACTGTGTTAGCCAGGATGGTCTTGATCATCTGACCTTGTGATCTGCCCGCTGCAGCCTCTCAAAGTGCTGGGATTACAGGCGTGAGCCACCGCACCTGGCCTTTCTTATTTTTTTTCCTTTGAGACAGAGTCTCACTCTGTCACCCAGGCTGGAGTGCCATGGCATGATCTCAGCTTACTGCAACTTCTGCCTCCCAGGTTCAAGTGATTCTTCTGCCTTAGCCTCCTGAGTAGTTGGGGTTACAGGCACATGCCGCCATGCCAGGCTAATTTCCTTATTTTTTAATTTTTAGTAGAGACGAGGTTTTGCCATGTTGGCCAGGCTGGTCCTGAACTCCTGACCTTGTGATCCGCACACCTTGGCCTCCCAAAGTGCTTCGATTACAGGTGTGAGCCACCACACCTGGCCTGTTTTTGCATTTTTCTATACATCTAAAATTATTTCAAAATAAAAACATTTTAGAATGTATTTGCTCCAAAAAAAATAAAAAATCCACACAAAAAACAAAACAAGCAACAACAAAAAACTTTGATCAGAGGATGAACAGAGATACCGGGAGAGAATGGCAAAGCAGTTTGCCTATTATCCACCATTCCAAATGCAGATGAACCTACTTCATGAAGACCCCCAAAGTCACCAGAGACTCCCCTCAATTTTCTCCCTTCCTGTAAAACTCCCCATTACAGAGTCACCATTTTGTGTGTCACTAACTATTTCTTTAAAGATGGTGGCCTGTGCCTCCCACACCTCATAAAGCCCCATTTTCAGACATTGGCAGTGTATCTGTTGGATCCACTAAAGAGTTTTTAAAAGACATGGCTTCAGCCTTCCAAAGTGCTGGGATTACAGGCATGAGCCACTGCGCCTGGCTTGTAGTTTACTCTTGAGTTGTGTCTCTCTACATAGCTACAAAGTATAGCCTTACCAAATGAGACTCCAGAAGATTAACTCCTTGTTGTCTACAATGTCTACATTTCATGGGATACTTCTTTATCCTGGTGTATTTCCTAATATCTAAATGTCCTACATGTCACCAGGTGTCCTCACAGGAAACTTGCTTATACTAGCACATGCCTTTGAAGCTCTTATCTGACCTATTTACAGTTTACTTCTACCAAGGTAGCTACTCTCTAGGAGAGCCCCAGATGAGAAAGAAGTTAGTTTCAGGTGTGTTGATTATGTAAGACAGAGTAAAACACAAAACTGATGAAATAACAGAAATAGTGTATTACTCACAGATCCCAGAAAGAAGAAAGCATGCCTCCCAAGGCCAATGGGAAAGCAAGAGCTGTCTGAAACATACACCTACAACAAATGGGAGTGGGGTGAGTGTGAAAGGGAGGGTGATGGAATGAGGGACCAGTGGGCTGCAGCCTTTGTTGGGTTCCAGAGTGTAACCCAAATCAATTTTTCATAGGAAGTTCCAGCTGTTGGTTTTGAGCAAGAAGGCATGAGTTTCATGAAGTCACCCTGTGATGCAGAGGTGCTCGCTGGAATGTCTACACATTACATATGGGGAATGGAGGTCAGTGGGGCAAGTCAAGTGTTGCATCTAGCTGTCCTAGAGAGAGTAGTGAGCTGGAGGGATTGTATGAGGAGATATCTGGATCTACCACATTAAGGAACTGGAAGAAGGTGGAGAACTGGAAATGGTGTCATGGATGACTAAACCCTGGTTCTGATATGAGTAAATAAAACCTATATTTAATATGAATTCTGAGGCAATATATAGAATTGTAAGTATTTACTACAACGTTTAAAAGAGAAATTCCAGTAGTTCACTAAAAGATCTAATATCTCCACTGTCTAGGCAGAAGGTAAATACAGTTGGTCAAGTTAAATAAACCTATATTGCAACATACTCCTTCAATAATAGACCAGAATACAGCAGATCAGCAAAGACATTAACACTGAGGAATGTGCAGTCACAGAGAGAAAGAGTATATTATATTGATCCTAAAGTAGATATTTTCAGATATTTCACATGTAAATGCATCTTTTTTTATTATTATTATACTTTAAGTTCTAGGGTACATGTGCATAACGTGCAGGTTTGTTACATATGTATACTTGTGCCATGTTGGTGTGCTGCACCCATCAACTCGTCAGCACCCATCAACTTGTCATTTACATCAGGTATAACTCCCAATGCCATCCCTCCCCCTATCCCCGTCCCCATGATAGGCCCCAGTGTGTGATGTTCCCCTTCCCAAGTCCAAGTGAGACATTGTGGAAACACTGTTGGTCAGAGGCAACAATGATGTGATTGTCCTCATGGTCACATGTATCTCTGCAAATAGCCCATTCTCTTAACCACTGTGGTATTGTGTAATAAAGACAGAAGAGTGAAAACCTGCATGCTTTGCACTCACACCAGTATTCTCAGCCGTGCCTTGAGTGAAGCAGAGAGCATAGAACTTTATAACATTGCTGTTGATGCTTATGTTTCTAGTGTCCTGGTGCGTCTTAGAACAATGCCCCCAACACCACTCCCTGTGTCACTTATTTAGTATCATGTCAGCAAATATCTTTCAATCTCATGCCCCCTCATTTTCTTACTCTGCTTTACGAAGCCTGGGGGACTTTCTACTCCAGCAACAGGGAGCAGATCAGGAGCCTGTATCGACATCTCTGCATGACTTTTGCACAAGTACAGACTGCCCAGTGACTGTGGTCACCTCCTCCAGACCATCCCATTAAGCATGGGAACACAGAAGACACAGCTGAGTTCACAACCTCTCTTTTGTATCTATCTGGCTAGCAGCTACCCTTTGGGGACCATGCGGGGATTCAGTTCTTTTGTACAAAGATTGAGTTAGTTCAGCAGTCATTCTTCTTGCTGACCGATGACACCATAACCACAAACCTTGCTTGTAATAATTTCTTCTTGGTTTTTGTTTTGGCATGCAAATACTATTAACATTTGTGTATAAATTTATTTTTTGGCATCATCTACAACCAAATGTGTTTTTATATTGTGTATTAATGCCTTTCATCCTACCTTTAACAATGTATTTATAATCATTTTTCAATATATCTTTTCAATTATTTTCATCTTTTCATTCATTACTCTTTATTAAATTAAATGGAAATATCACTTTTATTAGGAAATGTGTAATCACTTTTATTACACCTTCTCTCTTTTATCGTTTTCCAGAAATGTTCTCTAAAATGCCTCTAGTTGGAAAGAAGAGGAACAGAGATTTTTCTGGGAACCACAAGACAAAACATGCTGAGAACATCATGATGAAAAGGAGAGGTGACTGTTACCATTATGTGATTTAGTTTGTTCTGATTTTGAAAGGTTAAAAATTATTAATTTTTGTAGACGGAACATTGAGAGATCGATTTTCTGTACAAGCATTTTGTTAATATGCATGTTTGTTTTTCTCTCACCCCAAAGTTAGAAACATTGGCTGAACTTTCTGATTCATTCCAAGTAGTTATTCTGAAAGTATTCATGACATATCTCTGTACAGATGGCTTATAATATATATTTGTATCTTTTTCCTACTCTTTGATAAGTGAATACTAAAAGCATCTTTAGTTTTCAATTTTAAAATGCCACTCAGAAAATGTGTGCATATATGTTAGGCAGCACATATTTTTGTAGAGGATATAATATATTAGAATATATAGTAGAAATGGTATGGTAGAAAGGGAGTTGAAACTTACGTTTATTTTATTTTATCAGCTATACATATTTTTGAACAGTTTTTTGTGCATGACTTTTAGATGATCAGCACATTTGTATTACTCTTTGACCACTATATGCGTGGGGAGTCACAGGAGAACAACACAGACAAGTTTACATATTTTCTGATGCCTTGGTTCAAAAGAGATTCAGAAAATGTAACCACAACTAAACTGTAGGTAGAAAAGCTGCCCTTGGGAACTCAGGGGACAGGTGTCAGACCTGGGATGGGATGGACAAGGAAGCCTCCAGGAGGAGGAGCACGGAGGAGATGCTGGAGAGTGAGGATCAGTGAGTCCAGCAGACAGAGGAGGGTAAGGGAGGAGGAAACAGTGTGTCCGTGGCACAGGGCAGGCCATGAGAAGACGACAACTGATTGGAAGGATTTCTGGGTGAGTAATATGTGAGAAAGCAGGAGCAGGAAGGGCAGAGCATGGAGGGACTGGGCAGGGAAGGCAGGGCTGCTCCCTGAGGACTGCGTTCTGAGGGAAAGAAATTGAATGCCTCAGTTTCTTTTCTGAAATGTTATACAGTCCATGAGTTATGCTTCTCAAGAAGACGGAATGAATGAGGATGGCCCCTGCCCACTGGGGAGATCCTTGGGCATTACCAGGAGGATTGGGTCTCAGGAGGAGAGGGGCTTGAGAGGGGCAGGGAGGATCCCCAGACTAGATGACTGGTCAGCTCAGGGACCTTGAATGCTCCAGATCTCCTCTGTGCCTCCATTGCACAGACCTCCACCCCACCCTAAGTACAGGTTTCTGTCCCTTCAGTCATTTTGCAGGTGTAAGTGGGATCAGAAAATTCAGTGTGGCTCACTCATGGCCAACCTCACCCACATATGGGAGGCTGAAAGAAGCCCAACAGGCAGTGCCAATGGGGGTTTTCAGGTTTTCAAACCTGCTCAGAGAGCTAATCTGAGGCCAGATGCACAGGGCAGGCCAACAAGGGGCCTGAGGTCCTGGTGAGAGGAGATGAGCAGTGGGTGGGGTGGGCTGCCTTTACAGGACGTTTCTCGGTGGACATTACCATCTTTACCCATTTGTGTCTGCATGTCTCCTCCATGTTCCTTGATATTCTCATACAAACCTAATGATTTTCTTAGATCGTGACAGATATTTTAACATCATTCTTTCTGTCACATTTGCCTATTTCCATCACATATCTACAGTTACCTAAATTTTGTATTGTTGGATTATTGGTAAACCATTTGCATAGTTTTTTATTAACATATAATAATTGTGTATATTTATGGGTTACAATGTGTTCAGATTTTATCTATGTGTACATTTAATTAAGATTTAATCAAACTTAACATATCCATTGGTTCATCAATTTATCTTTTTTTTTTTCCTGGTGAAAACTTAAGAAATCTATTATTTTAGGAATATAAAAATGTGCAATACAATTTAATAAACAGATGATATTACCCTGTGATACCATGCTTTTTATCAATTCTGCAAATTAATATCTCCTTATTTCAGAGGAGGATCTCTGCTGCATGGTCCTAAGCAATTATATTTTGGGGGTGTGTTGTGGTTTTTCTATTAATTTTTGATACTTCTATATTCTGGGAACCATTATGCTACTGATACTTGTTTGAATAATCCAGTAGCTGTAGCTTTTAATTTTACTTTACTCTTTATATAGTATTATACTGTTCATTTTACTTACTTTGGAATTACTCTTCCTTTTCTAAGTTTGAAAGAAATTCAGATGACTGAATTTAGACTTTTTTCCTCCAGTGTATACATTCAGTGCTATACATTTCCATCTACATGTTGTTTCATTGTATCACACAAATTGTGGTGTTGTATTTTCATTTTCATTTAGTTTTACTTTTATTTAGAAGTATTTTCTTTTAAATTTCTCTTGTGATTTCTTCTTTGACCCTATTATTTATAACAAGTTTGTTGTTCAGTCCACATGCATTTCAAGATTTTCTAGTTATTTTTCCAGTTATCCCTTGAGTTCTAGTTTTATGATTCTGTGGTCTGTGAACACACGTTGTGTGATTTCCATTTCTTTTTATGGTATGATTTATGGCCAGATTGTGTTCTGTCTTGGTAAATGTATTCCAGATGAGCTTAAGAAGAATGTGCAATCTGAATTTGTTTGATGAAGTAGGCTGTAGATGTCGTTTCTAACCAGTTGACAGATGTTGCTGTTGAGTTTGGCTATGTCTTCACTGGCACTCTACCTGCTGGATCTGGCAGTTTCTCATAGAGGGTCTTGAAGTTTCCAAGTGTAATATTGAATTTGTCTCTTCATCCTTCCATTTCTGTCACATTTGCCTCATGTAGGTTGATGTTCTGTTGTTAGGTGGATACACTTTAGGGGTTGCTATGTCTTGTTGGAGACTTACCCCTTCATCTTAACGTAATGTCAATTTTTGTTCCTAGTAACTGTCCTCATTTTGATGTCTGCTCAATCTGAAATTAATATGGCTAATCTTGCTTGATTACTGTTATCTACTATGCTATTTGCTACATCTATTTACTTTAATTTACATGTGGCTTTATATTAAAGGTAGATTTTTTTGGAGGAAATATACAATTGGTTTTCTTTGTCATCTACTCTGGCAAATCTAATCATTTAATTCATGCAGTTAGACCATTGCCATTCACAGTGATTATTGATATAGTTGTATTAATATCTGCCGTATTCATTCATTACTGTTTTCTATGTGTTGCTCTTGTTTTCTCTTAATTTTTTTTCTTCCCCTCATTTTCTGCCTGTTGTTGTTTTAGCTGAGCATTTCATATGGTTATAGCTTTTCTCCTTATCATGTAAGTTACATATCATGCTATGGTTTGAATATGGTTTGTTTTGGCCCCATGCTGTGGTTATTTGGTCTCATGTTGAAATTTGATCCCCAGTGTTGGAGATCTTCAGTAATGGCTTGGTGCCACTCTCACAGGATTGAGTGAGTTCTCACCCTTAGTTCCTGCTAGCACTGGTTGTTGCAGAGAGCCTGGCACTTACGCACCTCTCTCTTGCTTCCTCTCTCACCATGTGATCTCTGCACCATGTGATCAGTTTCCCTTTGCCTTCTGCCACAAGTGGAAGCAGCCTGGGGCCCTCACAAGATGCAGATGTTGGCACCATGTTTCTTGCACAGCCTGCAGAACCATAAGACAAGTAAATCTCTTTTGTTTATAAATTACCCAGCTTCAGGTATTTCTTGATAGCAAGAGAAACAAAGATGTATGATTTTTACCTTTTAAGTGGTTTAAGAATTTTTCATGTTTTTAATAGCTTCTATCAGTTAACAATTTCTTGAAAATAGTAACAATTTATGTGATTATGCACATATATATGTATATATGCAAGTATGCTTACATATATTTGAAACAAATTACAGTAAGAATACTAGGCACTGGAGAAGACAGTAGGATTATTTTGTTATTGTAAGGTACTCATACTACCTGCAAAGGATATAGTATACTTTGAAAAGGGGCTTGGATTAGTTTTAAATGTAGTACTGCAAACTTTTGGATAGCTTATTACACAAAAGCACCAATTTCTTCCTAGCGGTTGACCAGAGGCTGCACTCAGTTGCTTTGCCAAATGGGCTTCTCTCATATGGCAAAATGCTTCATAAAAGCTACCAAGTGAGTGAGGTCCCTAGCAAGACAGAAATCATAATGCAATATAATTACCCAAGTGATATCTCATAATTTTTGCAAAATTATGTTGTTTCCAAGTGAATGAAATTTCTTATTCTTACTCAGTGGGAGCACATCAGAATCCAAGATTATGTACATGAAGAGATGGGGGTCATTGGTAGCCATCTGCCTGCACATCAGATCCTCTGCAGTCTGCAGCAGTTTCTCAGTCTTCACTTGTGTGTCGTGACCTTGACCCTTTTGAAAACAGTGGTCAGGAATTTTGTAGAATGTCCCACAATATGGATTTGTGGGATTTTATTCATGATTACACTAGGAGTATTGTTTAAATTGAACACTTGCATTTATCTAAATTTGAAGACGAGAAAAAATGAATACACAATACAAACATAGAAAGAAAGATAATATATAAAATTTAGAGAGTGACAAAGAGCTCACAATAATAGTTACTTATAACAGCAAAGGAAGATGGTGACATTAGAGAAATGCCCCCAGGGGGCATCAAAATATGGTAAGGCTGTTTCTTAAGCTTAGTAGTTTCTCTGCCAAGAAACTTTTAAAAGTTTCTCTTTTTAAAATTTAAGATTAGGCCAGGTAAGGTGACTCATGCCTGTAGTCCCAGCCCCTTAAGAGGCTGAGGTGGGAAGATTGCTTGACCCCAGAGGTTGAGGCTACAGTGAGCTGTGATCATGCCCCTGCATGCCAGCCTGGATGGTAGAGTGAGACCCAATCTAAATAAATAAATACAATGAAATCAAGTTTTGAAAATTACGATTAGTTTTATATGTACAAAACAGTGGCAAATATAGTACGAAAGTTCTTGTATTCCCCACACAGAATTTCCTATATTATTAACCCCTTATATTAGTGTAGGGCATTTATCACAATGAACCAACCAGTATTATACATTATCACTAACTACTACCCATGCTTTGTTCATATTTCGTTGTTTCACTTAACGTCCAGTTTCTATTTCAAGATCCCATCTGGTATACCACGTCACAATTAGATCTCATGTAGGCTTTTTTGACTGTGATAGTTTCCAGGAGTTTTTTCGTTTTTGATGACATGAGCGTTCTTGATTTGGGATTACTCTGATGTTTTTCACAAGATTTCGGTGGATTGTGGATTTTGGTGTAGAAGACCACAGAGGAAAAAAAAATGTCTTTCTCATTACATGATATCAAGGGTATATACTAAAACCACACTTTATCACTGTTGATGTTCATTTGATCACCTGGATGAGATAGTTGATATAAAATTTCTCCACTGTAAATTACCCTTCCTCATTTTCCATGTTGTATGTATCAAAAAAGTTACTACTCACGTAAGAAATGGGGAGTCTTGCTCCATCTCCCAACAGGCAGAATATCTACAAAAATTATTTTTAGTCTTTTCACCATTTGTGTGTCTGTTTTTTTCCATTTATATTTATTAAATCACTTATTTCTATAAGTATGCAAATGTGTATATTTATTTTACACTTTACTTGTATTTGTTTATTTATTTATTTTTAAGATGGAATCTTGCTTTGTTACCAGGCTAGAGTGCGTTGACACGATCTCAACTCACTACAACCTCTGCCTCCTGGGTTCAAGCAACTCTCCTGCCTCAGCCTCCCTAGTAGCTTGGATTACAGGCACGTGCCACCACGCCCAGCTGATTTTTGTATTTTTAGTAGAGACGGGGTTTCACCATGTTGGCCAGGATGGTCTTGATCTCTTGACCTTGTGATCTACCCACTGCAGCCTCTCAAAGTGCTGGAATTACAGGCATGAGCGACCGCGCCTGGTCTCCTTCGTTTATTTTATTGCTCAAATTGTTCTACTGTTGATCGTTTATTTTATTGCTCAAATTGTTCTACTGTTGATCATTCAAAGGTCTTTTGGTTGATCCTCTTATCATTTTGAAATACTCTGGTAATTACAGTTTGATGTTGTGTGATTGGTTAGTTGGTTTTGTTGTTGATTAGCGTATTCCTTGCCGAAGCCTAGTATGCATCGTGTCTTCAGGAAGCCCTAGTTCCTTTTATTGGAAAATAGAATTTGAAACAAAGATTGGGGCACCAGGTCCACTCATTGCTACTGGCACATCCATTGATTCGAAGCCTTGCCAGGTGACAGAGAAAATAAATATATCTCTATATATTGGCACATAAATATGTACATATCTCTAAATACAGCAATATATGTCCATATGCATCTATATTAAATTAAACATGAATTCCTACTAATGCGCCATTACCACATAATCTAAATTATTAGCCGATGAATTAGTTTGCCTATTCCCGCTTATTTGTATGTAACCTACCATTCTAACAGTGAGACAGTTGGCTTTGTTAACAATTTTACATTCTGAAAAGACTTGCATAGTGTTTCCAGAATTGGTAATCCATATGCCCAGGAGAAATGACTTTTACCAACTTCAGTTTTTAGACTTAGACTGTCCCCTCATTTTTAAAGTTACTTAGGCCATTCCCCCTTCCTCCCATTCCCTTCAGTGAAATAACTCATACCTTTGTAATACTGTTACATTATTTTGTGTATTTCTTTTTGGGGTCCCCCAGCCTACTAAATAATGTTTTAAATTTGCATGCTTTTAGATTATTCCTTTCTGTTTTAAATTTCTACAGGATTTCAAAAACACTATTATGTATCCATCACTATAACATCACACAGAATAATTACACTGCCCCATAGAAGACCCCTGTAATTCATATCACCCTTCCTCTCTCCCAAGCCCCTTGTAACCAACAATCTTTTTACTACCTTTGTACATTTGTCTTTTCTAGAGTGTTCTGAAATGGAATTACACAGTGTTTTGCCTTTTCCAACTTGCCTTTTTCACTTAACAATACACATTTTAGATTGGTGAAATATAACTCCATCATTGTTTAAATATTCATTACCCTAATAACAAAGGAGTTGAGCAAATCTTCATGTCTTTCTTAGAGCATTTTTGGAGAAATGTACATTTAAGTAATGGGCCATTTTTAACTTAGATATTTGCCTTTTTATTATTTAGTTAAAACATGCTTTTATATATACATTATGTGGCTAGCAAAAATTTTCTCCCTTCTTTGGTTTGTCGTTTTACTTTTTGATACACTTTGAATCACAGATTTTAATTCTGATGAAGACCAATATATCTCTTTTTTATTCTGTCACTTATACATTATCTGTCGCACCTAGGAAAATATTGCTTAATAATCTAATGTCATGAAAACATACTTCTATGTTATCTTCTATAGTTTTGGCCTATCTAGTACTTATATTTAGATATATGATTAATTGGAATCAATCATGTATATGGTGTGAGAGAGGAGTTTAACTTGCATGTCGATATTCACTTGTCCCAGCAACATTTGTTAAAACATATTTATGTTTTTTTTCTTATTGAATTGACTTGACAAACTTGAAAATCAGTTGATCATGAAGGTAAGTGTTAATTTTTGGACACTCAATTTTATTGTACTGATGTATATGTCTATCTTTATACTAGTGCCACAAATCTTTTTTTTTTTCTTTTACTTTTTTCTTTTTGTTTTGAGACAGGGTCTTGCTCTCTCACCCAGGCCAGCGTACAGTGGCATGATCATGCCTCACTGCAGCCTCCAATTCCTGGACTCAAGAGATCCTCCGACCTCAGCCTCCTGAGTATGAAGAACTACTCATGTGGGCCACCAAGCCTGGCTAAGTTTTTAAAACGTTTTTCTTTTTTTTTTTTTTTTTTGAGACAGAGTCTCGCTCTGTCACCCAGGCTGGAATGCAGTGGCGTGATCTTGGCTCACTACGAACTCTGCCTCCTGGGTTCAAACAATTCTCATGCCTCAGCCTCCCGAGTAGCTGGGATTATAGGCATGCACCACCACACCAGGCTAATTTTGTATTTTTAGTAGATATGGGGTTTCACCATGTTGGCCAGGCTGGTCTCGAACTCCTGATCTCAGGTGATCTGCCCTCCTTGGCCTCCCAAAGTGTTAGGATTACAGGCGTGCCACTGCGCCTGGCCAAAAGCTTTCTTGTAGAAAAGAATCTCGCTGTGTTGCACAGCCTGATCTCAAACTCTTGGCCTCCAGCAGTCCTCCTGCCTTAGCCTCCTGAGTAGCTGTGATTACAGGCACAAGCCACTGCACCCAGCCAGTACCACAAAACTTTATTACTATTGCCCTGTAGTCATTTTGCAATCAGTAAGTGTGCATTTGCTGTGCAGACTTTATTCCTCTTTGTCAAGATTAATTTCTTTGTTGTGGATCTATTCCATTTACATATCAGTTTTATAATCAACATGCAAATTTAAGCAAAACTTCATCTGGAATTTTGATGGGGACTGCATTAAATCTGTAGATCCGATTGCAAAATAGTGCCATCTTAGCAATATTAAGCCTTTCAATCAGTGATAAAATGCCTTTTCATTTATTTAGGACTTAATTATTTTTCTTCAGTAAGTTTTATAGTTTTCAGTGTACATATATAACAATTGCTAGTGTGTAAAAATGAAATTTATTTCTCTATTTTGACCTTGTTTACTGCAGCCTTGATGAACTCATTTTTTATTTCTAATTATATTTCATTAGAATTCTTAGGATTTTCCGCACTCAACACCATGTCATTTGCAAAGTTGACTTTCTTTCCAAATCAGATTCTTCGTATTTATTTTTCTAGCCTATTTGTCCTTACTGTACCCTCCAGTGACATGTTAAAAATAGAAGTGGCAAGAGTGGACAACTTTCAAGTGAATTATGATGTCATGTGAGTTATTTGTGATTGTCTTTAAGGTGAAGAAAGCTCCCTTCTATGCCTAACTTGCTACATGTTTTTATCATAAGTTGATTTGGCATTGAGCAAGTGTTTTTTCTTCATTTTTGAGATAATCATGTGGATTTTGTCCTTTATTTTATTAATATAGTTCATGAGTACTAATTTATTTTGTATGTTAAACCAAATTTGTGTTACCGATGTAAACATCCTTGGTCATACTGTATAATTCTTTTTTTTTTTTGAGATGGAGTCTTGCTCTGTCGCCCAGGCTGGAGGGCAGTGGCGCGATCTCAGCTCACTGCAAGTTCTGCCTCCTGGGTTCACACCATTCTCCTGCCTCAGCATCCCGAGTAGCTGGGACTATAGGCGCCCGCCACCATGCCCAGCTAATTTTTTGTATTTTTAGTAGAGACAGGGTTTCACTGTGTTAGCCAGGATGGTCTTGATCTCCTGACCTGGTGATCGGCCTGCCTTGGCCTCCCAAAGTGCTGGGATTACAGGCATGAGCCACCGTGCCTGGCCTGTATAATTCCTTTTACGTGTTACTGATTTGTTTTCCTCATATTTTAACATCTGTATTCATAATACATATCCATTTATAATATTCCCTTGAAATACCTTTGTTACATTTCTATTCAAGATCAGGGTAGACTGTCTCATGAAATGCATTGTGAAGTACTATCTTCTCCACGTTACTTGTGTCATTTTTAATTTTTTTGAACTATTGGTAATAGATTGGTATTCATTTTTTAAAAGGTTTGGACATATGCACCAGTGAATCCTAACAACAAACACATGAGCTTGGAAGGAGATTCTTTTCCAACTGAGCCTTCGGTTGAGAGCCCAGCCCTGGCCATCAGCTAATCTGGATTCGTGACCCAAAGAAACTGTGAGTAATATATGTGTGGTTTTGAGGGAGTAATTATGTGGTAATTTGTTATGCAGAAACTAATAAGTAGTATACCAGATAGTAAATGTAATGTGGCATCCTGGATTAGATCCTAGAACCAAAGAATGACATTACTGCAAAGCCTAGTAAAATATGATAGAAGCCTGTACTTCAGTTAAAATTTTAGTACCACCTACAAGTTTGTTTTCCTGTGTTTACTATAGTTATATTAGATGTTATCATTTCCAGATATCTGAAAGATATATAAAACTCTCTGTACTATCTATGAATATTTCTGTATATCTAAAATTGTTTCAAATAGTAAAATGTGTAGATATTATTTGGCACAAAGAACACAAACCATAAACAATAACCTGATGCACAGGAAATGAATGGATGTATAGGGAGGGAAGAGCATCCCGTCATTCTGAACACAGGTTGCTTCAGGAAGACAACCTCGAGCTGCAGGCACTCTAGTCATCTTTTTTTGTTGCCATCAGACTGCCTACTCCCCACTCACCAATTTGAGTGTCAGTAACCACATCTTCAAAGATAGATGCTTGTGCCTCACATATTCCAGAAAGCCTCACTTTCAGACTCTATTTTGAAGTGAATCTGCAGGATCCACTAAAAACTTATTGAAAGACATGACTGCAGGATGTTAGCATCCAATATTAAGAAATGTCAGTGGCCAGGCATGGTGGCTCACGCCTGTAATCCCAGTACTTTGGGAGGTCAAGGTGGGCAGATCATGAGGTCAGGAGATTGAGACCATCCTGGCTAACACAGTGAAACCCCGTCTCTACTAAAAATGCAAAAAATTAGCTGGGCGTGGTGGTGGGCGCCTGTACTCCCAGCTACTTGGGAGGCTGAGGCAGGAGAATGATGTGAACCTGGGAGGCGAAGCTTGTAGTGAGCGGAGACCGTGCCACTGCACTCCAGCCTGGGTGACAGAGTGAGACTCTGTCTCAAAAAGGGGAAAATGTCAGTGATAGGAAATATAAACTGTATTTCTGAATTTAGGAGAGTGTTTTTTCTATGTACAAGTATTCTTTGTTTACATGCTCAAAAGACAGATATACTTTCAAGTCTTTGAGAAAACTCTGTGAAAATTGTTATTTTCACTTTACAGACTCAATCATGAATTATTTGGAACCCTGTAGCCTGTTGACATTGATATCATGGAATTATATTGTCCCTTGCCAAACCCAAAAGCCACAAAGTAGATATTATCATGGTCGCAGGTGAGCTGGCTACAAAAAAAAAAAAAAAAAAAAAATTATAAATATGCTAATTTAGGCCAGTCCCTGCTTACAAAGGCCTATATATGAATCTATATGCACAAGGGTTTTGGCAGGTGAAGTCATGTGTTGATATGGTCAGGCTTTGTGTCCCCACCCAAATCTCATCTTGAATTGTAATCCTCAGGTGTTTAGGGAGAGACCAGGTGGGAAGTGATGGGATTATGGGGGCGGTTCCCCCATGCTGCTCTCATGAGAGTGAATTCTCAAGAGAGCTGATGGTTTTATAACCAGTCGTTTTTCCTTCCCTGACACACGCTTGCTTGTGCTCTCTCTTTCTTTCTGTTTCTCTGTCTGTCTCTCCCCCACGCCCCCTCCCTGCCTCACTCACCTGCCACCGTGTAAGATGTACCTGCTTCCCCTTCCACCATGACTGTAAATTTCTGGAGGCCTCCCCAGCCATGTGGAGCTATGAGTCAGTTAAACCTCTTTTATTTATTTATTTATTTATTTATTTATTTATTTATATAAATTACCCAGTCTCAGGTATGTCTTTATAGCAGTTTGAAAAGAGACTAATACATATGTGTTGTATACAAGTAGAGAAAAAGAGATAGAAAAAACAAAAGAACAAGCCGTATACAACATATACTCAACCCTCCGTGCCGTGATCCAAGATATGGAGACAAGCTGAATGAGGATTGTGCATATGTGCCGGCTAAAGAAAGAATCCCACTGCAGGGAGGTCCACTGTCCACTGACCTGCCACCAACAGCTCCCAATTCACGGACCACAGCAATCCAATTGGCAGCACCAGGTAGTGTCCAGGAAACATACCAAAAAAGCCTGCAAAGCTGTGTGAATGCGTCCTGCACTCCATAGAGATCCGTAAGATGGGCATAATTCCTTTTAAAGTCTGTAATCATGGGGCATATTCTCCACATCAAATCAATAGTGTCAGTGAGAAAACCAGTTCACAGCTTAGAGCCCGGAGTGAGAGATACAGCTGACCTGAACCACATTTCTCATGTCTGAGAGCAAGATAATAAGAGCTGTTACTTAGGCGCTGTTATTTGAGTATTTGTATTTGTGAAAATCCTTAACTTCTCCAATCTCATATACTTTACTCTTTGAGATACAAAAGGCCTCATTTATACTTCCACATCTTAACACATGGAGGATTACTGATTTTAAGTGGATATATATTAATACTTTAGTGACTTGTGAAATCTCCTTTTACTTTTCACTTCAATGCATATTTTAAAATCCGGCTGGTCGCAGTGGCTCATGCCTGTAATCCCAGCACTTTGGGAGGCCCAGACAGGCAGATTACCTGAGATCAAGAGTTTGAGACCAGCCTGACCAACGTGGAGAAACCTCATTGCTACTAAAAATACAAAATTAGCCAGGTGTGGTGGTGCATGCTGGTAATCCTGAGGCAGGAGAATCACTTGAACCTAGGAGATGGAGGTTGCAGTGAGCCGAGATCGTGCCATTGCACTCCAACCTGGGCGACAGAGCAAGACTCTGTCTCAAATAATAATAATAATAATAATAATAATAATCTGTCGTGATGTATATACTATGAACACTCTACCTTACCAAAGTATGGATCAACAACAAAAAGATCAGAGTGGAAGGTCATAAATGAGACACAAGAGATCTGGGCAAGGAGTAGTCCCTCAAACTGGCAAATCAAAATCAAGCAGGTGTGAGATCTCAGACTTAACAGAAAAAAGCCAATGGACACAAAACTGTACTGATATGATGTTACATGATACAGTGTGTTACACCAAGTCCCCAAACAAAACCTCTGACAGCATGGAAGATACGATTTGCCACAGTATACTAAACTACCCGATTTCACACAGATGGGCCTGGCCACAGCAGTTTTCAAAAAGATATCATTGCACACAGGCCAAACTCTTACACCACATCATGAGGCAAGTGTTCTGCACTCTGCACACCCGAGCCTGTTAGAAATTAGAGTTTAATGAATGAATGGCTCCTATCTTTGAGATCATGACTTCATATTCACTTAATTCAGTCTTCCTGGAGCCTAAAACTCTGGGTAAAATTTTAGTCATAATTCTGAATTATGAGTTTCTTCTTTACTCAATACATTCACGAGGAAATGGGAAAACCAATTCCAATATCGAGGTATCTCAAAGTAGAGTTGAACAGAGTAGCCGGGGACATAGCAAAAGGTTTAACGGGAACCACGATGCATCCATATCTGCAGTGGCTTATCATGAGGTGACTTGCAGGTTCATCAGCCTCATGATTAAAAACATAAACAGAAATGAGTATACAGAGACACACACAAATATTATAGGTTGGAAAACTGAATTTAGAATGAAGCTTAAAAAGACCATTACTCATATCTCTTTTTTTTTTTTTTTTTGGGATGGACTCTTGCTCAGTCGCCCAGGCTGAAGTGCAGTGGTGCGATCTCAACTCACTGCAAGCTCCGCCTCCTGGGTTGACACCATTCTTCTGCCTTAGCCTCCCGAGTAGCTGGGACTACAGGCGCCCACCACTACACCCAGTTAATTTTTTTTTTTTTTGTATTTTTAGTAGAGACGGGGTTTCACTGTGTTAGCCAGGACGATATCGATCTCCTGACCTCGTGATCCACCTGCCTCGGCCTCCCGAAGTGCTGGGATTATAGGCATGAGCCACTGTGCCCGGTCTGTTACTCATATTTCTAAAATAAAGGCAGGAATGATCAATATAAAACTTTTTCTATGTCTTTTTTGTTTTCTTCAACTTTTATTTTAGTTTCAGGAATACATGTGCAGGTTTGTTACCTGAATAAATTGCATTTCACTAGGGTCTGGTGTACAAATGATTTCATCACTAAAGTAGTTAGCTTAATATTCGATAAGTAGTTTAGCTTTTTGACCATCACTCTCCTCCCACCCTTCCTGTCAAGTAGGCCCTAGTGTCTATTGTTCCCATCTTTGTGCCATGCGTTAAAAAGCTAACACTTCAAGGAAAGCGTCTAGTAGCTTTTTACCATTGTGTCTTCCTCCTTAATTGATTTTTTGAATGATAGTTTTTAAAAACTTCTTTGCACTTAAAACAGGAACACAGCCATGATCACTTAATACGGAGAAGTGGGCAGTCGCAGAGAAAACGAGTGTATTTCATTCATGCTGTAGTGCACACAGTCACATCTTTTCACAGAAAGGCATCTTGAATCCGATAGTGTTGAAACACTGTTGGCCAGAAGAGAATCATAATGAGTTTGTCCTCATGTACGCTGACATGAACTTGGTCTAAAAACCACCCATTGATATCTTCAGGTGATATTATCATCATCATAACTGGCAGAAGGGATGTCAAGGGGTTGGAAAGATAATCTCACAGAGAGTAGCGTAGGAATCCCATCAGAAATGCAGCATCACCAGTGCTTTTGATTAGTACAGATGATAGTAATATGGGGTCAGTTACTGGCAAGATGGGTTTAGAAGTGATTCAGATAAGTTTTGCCTCAATGGGAGAAATTTTAGGAAAAAAAACTTTACTGTATTTTGCCTGTTTCATCTTATGAAATCATAAGAATTACATCAGACAAATATCCACATGTATAGAAGTTGAAAATAGTTGAACTCTTTTTGAAAAGCTCAGTTTATATATATATGTGGGAGGATGAGGATCATTTGATAAAGATATACTAGATGTGAGCACCATCAGAGCAAGAAGAATGCTCTTTTATGGGTACTTTTACCCATATTTTATGGGTGCTTTTGTTCTAAATTGGTAGATGGAATTTGTTTTCTCAGGTATGACGGCAGTCGGTCTTTGAACTCCAATAGTGTACACAGATAATTTCAGTGGCCGATTTTGGTAAAAAGAAGAAAAAGTACCTATCTATTTTATTACAGTGTGTCATCATTTGACTTAATTTCACTGACTATAAAGAACAGCCCAAAATTTCATGCAAACCAGATAGACAGTGGTGTTTATGTAGTGAAGAAGAAAGGAAAAATATGTCTCAAATTTAAAAACAATGATAATTTCTAGGGAAACAAATAGAAAAACTTTCATTGGTTTCTTCTTTTGGTGATAATTTTGTTCTGCTCTTTTAAACAGAAAGCTTTACTGATTTTTTTTTAGGTTTTTTTTTTTTGTTTTTTTTTTTTTTTTTTTTTTTTTTGAGACAAGGTCTCATTCTGTCACCCAGGCTGAGTTCAGTAGCATGATCATAGCTCGCTGCAGCCTCGACCTCCCAGTACTCAAGCAGTGCTGCTGCATCAGGCTCCTGAGTAGCTGGGACTACAGATGCACACCATGAAGCTTAACTAATTTTTGATGTTTTGTAGAAACGGGGTCTTACCTTGTTTCCCACAGTGGTCTTGAACTTCTGGATGCAAATAGTACACCCCCAAAGTCCTGAGATTATAGACGAGAGCCTCCACACCTTGCCTCTACTTTAGTTATTTCATAATGTAATGAGTGTATCAGCCACAACTAACAGGATAACATAGAAAAGGCAGGTTAGTGTTTACATGGGGTGGTTCATCTACTTAAACACATCGTTTACTTCATTTCTAAGGCCATCCCTGCATCCTCAAGCTTGGTGCAAGATCTCTGTCATGAACGACCCATCGTTTCCCCTTGAGGAATAAGGTGAAAGGGTGAAGACCAAGTTCATTCAAATTACTCGATTGTGCTTTTGCCTTTTATTTACGTGCCGCTCCTGTAGTTCTGTTCACCGTGTTTTAGTGGAGTAATGATGACGCCACCGCCCTGTCAGTATGGATGCTGGCATCTATGCTCTCTCGCATCTTTACCATTAGATGTGGAAAATGGCTTGACAAAATTCAGCCACTGCATTCTCCGGACTCTGAGTTCCCTCTTCTCAACTGAGTGTGCCTTCCACAATTTATGCTCCAGCACAGCCTGGGGACTCCTAAAGCAGTATCCTTACTTAATAGTAGGTCTCAGACCATTTTTCATCTTTCTCACGTATTGCCATCCTTCACTAATGGACGTGTAGTGTCTGGAATTCATATTCACATGTAATTCATCCAGTTTTTTTGTTTGTTTTTACATGTGGCAAGCCATGTCTAATCTCTGTTAGTTGTTCCACATCTTGTTTCATTTTTCCTGGAATTACTCAGACATGATTCTTCCCCAGTTAAGTGGTTCTACTTGGCCATGTGAAGGCGAGTGAGGACAAATGTGAGTCCAGCACAGTGAGGAAGGCAGACAGGGGAACTGGCACTTGTAACATTAAAGAAAAGTTAAGAATTGGTGAAATGTGGCTGGGCAGAGTGGCTCATGCCTGTAATCTCAGCACTTTGGGAGACCAAGGTGGGCGGATCATCTGAGGTCGGGAGTTCAAGACCAGCCTGGCCAACATGGAGAAACCCCATCTCTACTAAAAATACAATATTAGCCAGGCATGGTGGCGCATGCCTGTAATCCCAGCTACTCGGGAGGCTGAGGCAGGAGAATCGCTTGAACCTGGGAGGCAGAGGTTGTGGTGAGCTGAGATCATGCCACTGCACTGCAGCCTGGGCAATGACAGTGAAACTCTGTCTCAAACACAAAAAAAGAAAATGGTGAAATGTAGTTCCCAATAAAGATTTGGAAATATTTATCAAAGGAGCCATATTAATAGAGTTAATAGAGGTGAACAAGATTTTTCTTGGTCTCAGAGGCCAAAACTGTGGGATGTACAGAAGAGGAGCAAATAGATGAGGTAGAAGCAGCTGGGTCAATGAGAGGAGCTCTGCAGTGTATTGAGGTTGGGGAGGCTGGAGAAGAGGCTAAGGGGGAGTTAGGATTCAGATTCTGTCCTGAGAACAGAAGGGAGAAAAACAACAACAACAACAACAAAAAACCAGCTTTATCTTCAAGTTCAAATCCTTTTCAGATAGAAAGAGACTTGAAATGTATTGGGAAGTAGACAAGAATATAGGTGAGGAGTTAGATTTGTAAATTTACTTGTAGAATTCAATATAAAGCAGAATCTTTGTGTTGCTCTATTACATGTGTGGGGCTTGTAGGGGAACAACAAAGACAAAGTTTCCCTCTTCTCTGATATTTCAGTTCAGTGGGCACTGAGAAAGCTTGACAGAAACGAAACTGTAGGTTTCGTTCTGAAGAACTGCCCTCGGGAGCTCAGAGGACATGTTTCAGGCCTGGGATGGGATGGGTAAGGGGAGCCTCCAGGAGGAGAAGCATTGGAGGGGATTCTGGAGAGTAAGGAGTAGTGAGTCCAGCAAACAGGGGAGAGACAGGGAAGAGGAAACAGCGTGTCTGTGGCACAGGCCAGGCCATGAGAAGAGGACAGGGGATTAGAAGGACCGCTGGGATGAGAAATACGTGAGGAGGCAGGAGCTGGAAGGGCAGACCACGGAGGGACTGGGTAATGATCCAGGAGAGATGTTTCTCCTTGGACATACACATGTTCACATGCCTATGACTGTATGTCCTCGGGATGTTTCTGTGTCTCTCAGATTGTAACATATCACATAAATTTATTCTATCACATGTCCTCTGTTACATTATATTTGTACTAATTGTTACCTGTTAAAGTTTTTTACTGGTAGATTATTTGTACTTAAATGATTTGCTATCTTAGTAAACAAATGAAATTACCCACGTACATTTGACTTTGGAAACTAATATAGGTACACCTGCTTCCTTTGGTTTTTGTAATCATGTTATATTTGTTGTACACAGTCACTTTTAGGTCATATGAGTCTTCATATTTAAAGCGAGTTTCATATAGACAAAATATACTTGGGTATTTTTGATTCACTCATTCTTTTATTTCCTGCATTTAGAACATTGACATTCAGAATGATTATTGATATAGCTGGATTTAAAATCTATGAAATTTGTCACTATCTTCTAGTTGTTTATTTGCCTTTGTTCCTGTTTTTTGTATTTCACTCATTTTCTACATTGTGTTGTTTAGATGAGCCTTTTTTTTTTTTTTTTTTTTTGAGACGGAGTCTCACACTGTCTCCCAGGCTGGAGTGCCGTGACAAAATCTCATCGCGCTGCAACCTCCACCTCCTGGGTTCAAGCGATTCTCCTGCCTCAACCTCCCGAGTAGCTGGGACTACAGGAGTGTGCTACCACGCCTGGCTAATTTTTGTATTTTTAAGTAGGGACAGGGTTTCACCATGTTGGTCAGACTGGTCTTGAACTCCTGACCTCGTGATCCACCCGCCTTGGCCTCCCAAAGTGCTGGGATTACAGGCATAAGCCATCATGTCTAGCCTAGATGAGCATTTTATATGAATTCATCTTCTTTTCTTTCTTAGCATTTCAGCCACACATTTTTAAAACTTTTTTTAGTGGTTAACCTGGGCAATAAAAACTTTTATTTTTCATATTCTTAATTGATCTAACAAATAACAGTCTGTTAAAAATAATAGTAGTACCAATGTATTAAGTATGCTTAAGTGTCATACATAAATTAATATATATATACACACACACACGTGTGTATTCGTCTATGTAAGTGAAACGAATGACTGCAGTTATACAAGGGATAAGAGAAAAGAATTAGGATTATTCTGTTGTTATAAGTTGTTCACACTACCTGTCAAGTGATAGGCTGTTATTTGAAAGGGGGCTTGGATTATTTGGAAGTGTAAATTGCAAACTCTAGGGCAGGCTGTTGGTCCAAGAGCCTCAGTTCCTTGCTGGCTGTTGACCAGAGGCTGCATTCAGTTGCTTCCCATGTTGGCTTCTGCCTTATGGCAGAATGAGCCATCCAAGACATCAGGGGAGAGAGCTTGCTAGCAAGAAAAAAAAAATCACACTTTTATGTAACATAATCACCCATATGATACCCCATCTGCTTGCATTATTCTATTGTATTAAAGCAAATCACATCTTGTGCCCAAAACTCACAGGGAGATGATTCCAATACAAGGTCGTGTAAACCAACAGGTGGTGATCATTGGGTACCATCCTAGGGTACCCGCGATATCAGGTCCTGTCTGAGGTGCAGCAGTTTCCCAGTATTCAGTTACTTTTCAGAAAAAGAACTGGTCAAGTATTTTGTAGGATGCATCACAATGTGGATTCATCTGATGGTTTCTCATTATTTGAATAAAACTACAGATCAATTGGAACACCTTTATTTATTTAAATTGGAAGACAATACAAACTGAACAATTTATTATTTAGAAAAACAAACTTAGCCATAAAAATAATACAGAAAAATGTGGGAATGACAAAAAGGAAATTGAAAATAATAGTAGCCTTCATGGGGGTAAAAAAGACTGTAGAACTGGGGAGATGAACATTTGGGGCATTGACAATATTGATAATATTCTGTGTATCAAGCTTGGCAGAGAATATTTAGAAAGAGAGGAAAAAACTTTTCTGTTTTGATTAGCTTTGGATTTGCAGAAGAGTTGCATAGTCAATGCAGAGAGTTAGTATATAGGCAACACAGTTTCCATTATTATTAACTCCTACATTAGTGGGAGGCCTTTTTCACAATTATACGCCAATATCATGCGTTCTCACTCACTGATACACTCACATCCACATATTAACCAGATTTATTTTTCCCTTTTTTCACTTGATGTCCATTTTCTGTTCCAGGAACTCTTCCAGGATAACATATCAAATTTTGATATCACGTCTCCTTAGGCTTTCTTTGTCAGTGTCTCTGAATTTCCTTGTTTTTGATGACATTGACATCCTCCTTTTGGGATTTCCATGATTATTTTTTTCTTATAGTCAGACAGGAGTTCTGGGTTTTGGACAGTAAGACCACAGGGGTAAGTGTGATACTCATGACAATTTATCAGAATGCTGTATCAACTATTGATACTAATTTGATCACCTAGATTAGGGAGTTTAGGTCAGTTTCTCTACTCTAAAATTCATCTTTCTTCCCCTTTTTCATGCCATACTGTTTGGAAAAATGTTACTATGCATAGCACATACTTCACAAGTGCAGAATTATGCTCTACCTCCTTGGGGGTAGGACATCTACAAATATAATTTGTATTTCATTACTATAGGCAATTTACCTATTCTCCAGCATTTATTTTATATTTATTAGAACATATGGAATATTATGCAAATAATAAATATTTATGTCCACTGTAATTATACTAGTTTATTGTGTTATTCGAATTGCTCTAGTGTTGGTCATTAGAAGGTCTTTCAGTCAGCTGCTGCTTTACCACTGTGAAATACCCACATCATTGCTGTTTGATTTTGTTTGTGTAGTTGGTTGGTCGGTTGTGTTTAACTTTTTCTTACTTTCTGGCACTACAAGGTGCTTAAACGTAATAGTGTTGATTCCCTGTCCAACCCTACCATTAACTATTTCTCCAAAAATTCCTAGTTCGTTTTTTGGTGAGTGGCATTAGAAACAAAACTCTGGGGAGTGGTGTTGTCATTTCTACTAGGGATTTATTAATTCTATGCTTTGTCATCTGACAAGGTATGTGTGTGTGTAACTCATACTCACATATGTATTTGTAGGTCTACATTGCTCCATATGTATCTATGTAAAGTTAAGCATGAATTCTTCCTGTTTCTAGCACCCATGATTGAATTCAGTACCACATGAATCCATCTCCCCATTCCCACTACTTGTATGTAACCTGCCGTGTTAACAGTGAGACGGTTGGGCTCCTTTGTATAATTGCTGAGTCCAAAATACATGCAGAGTGGTTTTAGAATTGGTCATTCATACCCCCACGGGAAAGAATATTTCCAACTAAAGTAGAGTATTTATTTACAAATACTTTGACATTTAGCCTAAGAACTTCTGTTTTTCTAAATTTCTTAGGTTTGGTCTCCTTTGCCCCCACTTCCTTCCATGAGGTTATTTCATTTATTTGTTATACATTTATATTATTTTGACTGCATTCCCCCATGGGATCTCCTAACCTATTAAATGATATTTAAAATTCACATTTATGTAGGTTTATACTTTTTGATGTAAAATTCTACAGGGTTTGTAAAATAGTATAATTAACATACCGTTGAAGTCACAGAAAATTATTTCACTGCACACATACAAAAAGTTTCTCTTTCACCTATTCAACCTTCCTCTCTCAAGCACCCTGCGTTTTTGTTTTGTTTTTTTTTTTTTTTTTTTTTTTTTTTGTAGACAGAGTTTTACTCTTGTTGCCCAGGCTGGAGTTCTGGAGTGCAGTGGCACAATCTCAGCTCACTGCAACTTCTGCCTCCTGAGTTCAAGCGATTCTCCTGCCTTAGCCTCCTGACTAGCTGGGATTATGGACATGCACCACCACATCTGGCTAATTTTGTATTTTTAGTAGAGACGGGTTTTCATCATGTTGGCAAGGCTAGTCTCGAACTCCTGACTTAAGATGATCCACCCACCTTGGCCTCC